ATCCAATGTCAGCAGAAAGCATGCTGATTAGAAAGTTGCAGGGAATAAAAACTCCACGTGCACAAGTATACTGGCTCAGCCATGCACCCGAAGCACCTAGTACATGATTAGACGTGGGAAGGTTAGTAGGAAGCTTATTCGTATGAAACAAATGGGGTTCAGAAGACAGACCTGGGAAGCCCTATTCCACTGTCACTATGATTATACTCGTGGTGAACTTTGTGCCATAAGGTTCTGAGACCTGACACAGTTCAGGCATTTTCCTCCTACATGTGCAATAAGTATGCACCACCTCAGACTCCACAGGCCATCCCACAGGCACCACCTCAGACTCTCACAGGCCAGGAAGAGCTGACAGTGGGACTCTGGGCAGAGGAGTCCCACTTCTGCCCCAGGGGGGTGACAGCAAGTCCACAAGCTCTGGGAACTCACACGTCACACTGCCCCCAGCTGACTTGGAAAAGGCTGTGTTCTGTCTACTTCATCTTCCCCACTGGTTCATGGTTCTCTCTCTGCACCCATTTATAACATACCCGACGAGCTCCAGAACACAACTAAACCCAGGGTTGTGACCCGAGTATCGTAGGGCATGCCGTGGGCTGTTTACACGTCATAGACTCCAGACATTTCCAGTTCACAGAGCTCTGGCACTGGCCAGGGACTTCCACATGCCGGAGGAAGTTGATCCTGTCCCCAACTGTTGGGATGGGCTCCCATCACCTTGGGTGACTCCGTTCTCACCAGACATTGGAACAGTGTATTACCCGACGGTGGTCAATGACACAGAACAGAAACTGTGGTTGGGGGCATCTAGGAAAGTTCAACATGCAACCATTAGAAGAGATTGTCTCTCTTCCTCCTCTGAAAAGCCCCCTTAGTACCAGCCTGAGGAGGGGGTTGACCCCCAAGATGATGTAGAGAAAACACTGAAAAAGCCTCAGTCCCTGGTGACTATGTTAGGCTTTGCTGAAGTGTGTCTCACTCGGGACTCCAGGTCCAGGAGATGAGGGGTGCCCCAACTGTGGAGGTGGGCTTGAAAGGGGTTTCTCTTACGTTCAGCTTGTACTGGTGATCTGTCGCTACAGATCACATTACCTCAAGATGCAGAGGCTTAAGACAGTAAGTGTGAATTATGTCACAGTTTCTGTGGGCTGGGCCGGCTGCCTCTGAGTCTAGGTCTCTCACACGGCTGCAGCCGGGATTCCCCTGGGCTGTGGTCTCAACTGTGCAATTTGCTGAGGGAACATCTGCTTCCAGGCTCACTCCAGCGGGAGTTGGCGGGACTTGATCTCATGCTCAGTGGGCTGAGAATCTCAGTCCCTCACTGGCTGGTGGCTAGAGGCTCCCTCAGTTCTTTGCCTCGTGGATCTCCCCAGAGAGCGGCTCTCAACATGGCAGCTGGCTTTCCTCAGAGTGAGCAAGGGAGAGAGGGAATCCAAGATGGAAGCCACCATCTTTTTTTAACCCAATCTCAGAAGTGACAAGTGACATCCCACGGCTTCTGCCATATTCTGTTCATTGGTGTTTGTCACTAAATCCGGTCCATGTTCACGGGGAGAGGATTACACAGGGGGTGAACACAGGAGGCAGGGACCACTGGGAGCCACTCTCGTGGTCCCCGCCACACAACCAAAGGCGTCCTAGTGGGTAGGCCAGAGCAGGAAACAAATAAGAAAGAAGAGGACGCTGGGATGCTGAGAGTTACTGAGATCCTCACATCTTTCTCGAGTACAACCGCGATGGGGGTTTGTGGCTGACGCTGTGGAGAGTACCCCGTAGACAGAGCTGAGCCGGTGCTGGATGCCCTTTAGCCTGGAATGCGTCTCAGTTCGATGAAGCTGAAGGGAGCAGTGCGTATCGTTGTAACTGATACTTACCAACACACAGGGACACGCATTCTGGTATATTCTGCTATTGAGGCTATGCTGTGTGTCAGGCATCCTGTTGGCCAATGGAACAGATATGAGTAAGACTGGCGAGGCCTCCAAGTTGCTTAAACTGGTGTGTGTGATACAGCATGGGGGGTAGAGAGTAAACACCCAGACGGGGCCGAGTCGGGACTGGAGGCGTGGCAGGAAGGGTTCCTGAGACCCTGGCGGGGTGTGTGGCTAGAGCACGCAGAGATCACATCCTTCTGATGGCCAGGATGGGTCTACCCAGAGGGAGCTGGGGGATGGGCTGCCTACAGGGGTCTCCTCAGTCAGACACACATATTAGCAGATGGTCACTGCATCTCTTCTGCCCACAAACCATTTGATGGTTCGCAAAGACTGTGGGGGGTCACAGATAAATGTGGCACTGATCTAGAACACACGGCCTTCTCCGTTTGGCTTTGTTGCAGGTGAACGTGGTTTTCACGGCCATGTGTCAAGTATAGGTAACATGTTTGGCCTGAAGACGGAAAATGAGGCATCCGCGCTTGGGCTCGGGGCCTGATACCCCGCAAGCTCTCCGGTCAGCTGGGGACGGCCGGCGGTAGAAGGGAATGTTGGCACTAGCGAAGGGGGGTGTTCCGGCAAAGTATGAGAATGGGGGCTGCACCAAGATCCTACGGAGGTCAGGGTCAGGGTCAGGGCGGGGGAATGGCCAGAACCGAAAGTTCTGGAGGGACATCAGAGGGAACGGTGGTGCCGTGTCCGACCCATTTCATGTCTTCTTGCATCTCCTTCCGTGTGTGTACAGAGCAGCCCGTCAGCTCTTCCAGGCTCACGGCCTTCAACAAAATGCATGTTTCCTGTTTTTAACAACCTGAGTGAATATACCACCTGTTGTAGAAGTAACAAGGAATGTGCGAAGCCAAAGATGTTCCCTGGGAGTTTCTGGAATGGTGGGGAAAACTGGGGGGGTGGTGGGTAGACGGAGCAGAGGCTGAGAGTCGAGATACCCTATTGAGAATTCCTGCTAACCCTAGTCTGCAGTCAGACCCTGGGCCAGTGACGAGTCCTTCTGACTCAGTTTCTCCCAGTGACAGAACCTACACCCCACGCTGTGGTGGGGACTGAGCAAGACGTCACATGTGACATGCCTTGTGGACCACCCAGCCCTCGCCGGTACTCAGGGCCCATCTCCCCCTGAAGCACATCATTTCTCATACAAGGAACGCAAGCCTAAACCCGAACTCAGGAGGAGATGGGCGAGAGCGTGCGGCTGCCATACAGATGTCTCCACGGAGCTTCCTTCCACACAGCTACAAATCGCCATAAGTCCGACGGGAAGGGGGGTCAAGGGCCCCAGATTCACATCCAGCAGTTGGGCGCCAACAGCCCATAGCTCCCTTGCGACAGGTGGAAGGGATGTCCAGATTTCAACACTTTGTGAAAAAATAAGACAGATGACAACAAAGGGTTTGTTTTCCTTCACTGCTCTTAAGCCCGGAGGCAAAGAAGGCAGGTTGCTTTCTGCCTGGTTGGGCAGGAGTTCCTGGTTTTCAGTGCCGCCAAAAATGGTCAGGAAATTTCTGTGCATTGGGGGAAAGAGAAGCTCCAGGTTGGAGGCGTTCAGTTATGGGGCAGGAGCAGTCAGGAAGTGGGAGCAGCAGGAGGGGGACCCTTGATGGAGGCCCACCCCCTCCGGCATGGCCTGGCGCTAATACCTCACGGGGTTCCCCTCCCCCCATTCCTCCTGTTTTTCCTCAGTTGGTTCCTGGGGACAAGAAGGGGAGAGACGGGGAGGGGGTTACAACCGGAGGGCTAAGGGGAGTCTGATGAAATATGTCTGGGGAAATGAACGTGTGGGGAGAATACCATGGACCCGGGGAGGGTGAGGGGTGGGACCATGTAGCAAGAAGATGGGGAGCCCCATCCTTTGTCTGTTACCCTGTTCCATTCTCTCCGAGGGAGAGGTGGGAAATGATTTCACAACACCGTAAGGAAGCAGGAGGAAGCTGTCCTCCCCAAACCTGATGCTGGCCTTTGGAAACAGCCCTCCCAGATCTCCCCTGCTGGTCTTCCCAGCAGACGCCACACACCGGCGGTGCCCCCAAGTACAAGGAGGCCCAGGAGCAAGTGGGGATCAGCGGGTCAGCATCAGTTCAGGTGTGGGCAAGTGTTCGAGGCCTGGATGTCCCACCCATGTAGGTTCCACGATCTGCTGGTCTTGCCACCATCCACTAACTGCCGTTCAGCTTTGCTGTTTTCCCTCAGCCCCTCCTCCCCCACTGGATCCCCCCCAGGATCCACAGGTCCTGTAGTCCAGGACTGTGTCCCTTTACAATGAAGTGTCGTTGAGCCATCCTCAAAGGGGTGATCAGGAACTTCCCGTGCCGATGGTGCCATCGGAATACATATGGTTAAATATATGAAATGATTACCCCCCAGGAGCAGGAGTGCTGTGCACAGTATTTCTGGAGGTCAGAAAGAAATCTCAGGAGACAACAAAGACAACCTGGTCTCAGTCAGGGTGTGACAAGAAGTAGAAAACAATGAGACTTTAATTCTGGCTATTGCTAGAAGGAACTCAAGCCATTTCCCTTTCTGCTGCCTCAGTTTCCCTTTCTGCAGGATAGCACTCCTACTGCTTGGTCGCTGACCTTATGATTCAAAGGTCCTCATTCATAAGTACCCCTGGTCTTGAACACGGCTCTCCTCTGCCCTCGCGGCTTGCGGGAGTGAGCTCACGGACAAAATCCCTTAATTGCTGAGTTCCCGAAAGAGCTGAGTGGGCTCTCGCTATCTGCAGACGTTCTGAGGTGAGTTCTAACTTGAGAGACAGCAGCTGCTAGCTGACTGTCTTCACCCACACAGTGCGACTGCGGCCGGGGTCTGACTGCGGGGTGAATGATTAATGCGTTAAGTCATTCTTTACGAGCACCTGCAAGGCATTCCGAGTGCATTCACTGTGAAATCGGACACACCGCTTCGGGCATTTAGAAAGGAAGGCTGGAGCAGAATGTCACAAACACCCCAAGGCAACAACGGAAAGTCTGGAAACCCAGCCCTGACACAGGTGAGCAGAGAGACGGGAAGTCGACATGTATGGGAAAGAAAACAAGAGGCACGTACGTGTGGGTCTCAGGTCCGAGGCCTCGGAACCAGCACTCTCCCCGGGAAAGCCGAGAGGCTCCACCATGTCTGTGTCGGGAGGAGGGTAGGGCGGGGGTGGGGGGAGCACTAACTGGGGGGGCCCCCGAGCAGAGCCTCTGGGAGGTTTTTGTGGCACCTGCCGTCCAACACCTACATGGAATCAACGGGGGTGACTTCAGAAGGTTAAACCCAGAGATCTCTGCCCTCCCGTGGAAGGCACGTGGCCATCACTCACCCAGCCATCAAAAATAACCTCGTGGCACCAAATCCAACCACACCCGGCACCGAATCCAGCCACACCCGGCGCCAGATCTGACCACACTCCGCACCACATCGAACAGCGCTCAGTACTGAAGTCAACCTCACCACGCATCAAATCCGACCACACCTGCCACGAAATCCAGACACACCCGGTATCAAATCCACCCGCACTTGGTACCAAACCGAGGCTCACTGGACACCAAACGCAGCCTCGGGGCACCGAATCCAACCACACCTGGTATCACAGTCAGCCTCACCGCGCACCGGATTCAGACACACCTGCCAACAAATCCTGCCACGCCCGGGGTCCAGAGTCAAAGTCCCTCGGCATCAAATCCCACCTCGCTCATGCTGGAGCATTTCACGCACACACTGTCCTCTCCTCAAGCCGGTTTGGAAATAACTTACTTGTTTACGATGTGTTTCTGGCAGGCGCTACTACTCCCAAATGCCGGGCTTGAAATTATTCTTAAAAGCCCCTCAGCAGCTCTGTTGCATTGAAAGAACTCCTTTTATACGTGTAAGTTCTTTTTAGGGATTAGTTTTTTTTTTTTTTTTTTTTTTTTTTAGCTTCCTCTTGTTATTTTTGTATCTGTGAACTACTGTGGATTAAGTAGCCCCTGAATCAGCTTACCTCTTTAAGCTCAATTTTATATCAGCAATCTGTCCCACTGTTTAGGGTGATAATTTTCAAACTTCGTTTTGAAGAGGGTCCCGACTTGGACAGAGAGTTAGGGGTGGCACTTCTGCTCCATCTGACCTCTGGAGCCCCTGGGGCAGCCCCCTCTTTGCGCTGTTGACATCTGGGGAATCCGCTTGCCCTTTTGTAAAAATGACTTTCTTCTGTTAAGAAGATTTTTGAAGGCCAATGACTTAATAGAAGGAAGGCATGTAAATCACTTGTACCATAAGTCACACTTCCTAGGATTTCTTTTAAAAACACTTTATTCTGTGCTTCATGCCTGCCATTGGATTATTAATAAAGAAATATTAAGAAACACAATTTCTTTATTCACTTCCTCCTTCTCTTGATTACAGTTCTCTAGATGTGGGCATCATTTGTCACCTCAAGTGCAAAGAAGCCACAAGCCCTCAGGACGAGCACGACTGGCTGGTCTGCGGAAGGCACCCTCAAGGGCGATGCATGTGGGAAAAAGAGGTGTAGTACGGGAAAAGCTTCTCTCTACCAGAAGGCTTAGTTTTTGTTTGCCCAGGAACTTGGGTCAGACCCAAATCCAATCAATACTATTCTAGTGAAAGTTCCAACATTTTTTGCCCTCTTATATCTAGGTATCTGAATAGAAAGATGTTCATTTGTGTGGGGTGTGCGGACAGGAAAACTTGTTACATGTGTGTCTGGTAACGTGAAGCCTAGACTTTGGTGAAAAATTCCCCTTGCGGTATTGCTAGCATACTGTTACTTCATGGGGGTCGCTGATGGGGATGGAAGTCTCCCTTAAATTGTTACCAAAACTTCTACCATCCTCCTGACCTCACCAAGTATTCAAGGTCACTGTCAGCTGGAAGGGAGCTCCTGGCTTCCTTCTCAATCTTCACAAGACAAAGCTGACGGACAAAGAGATAGAGACTAGTAGTGAATCACCACTGTCCATCCCTCCTCCCTGTAACGGGCTCCTTAGTGACTTAGGACTTGTCCATATGGATTTCAGTTTCCAAATACCCGCCCCCTCCCCCGAACAGCCGCACCTCGGCCAGGTCCTCCAAGCGTGGGGACACGAGGTGGCAGCCAGTCCTTCCCAGCTGATGGGAAGGCCCTCCCTTGGTCTGAAGTGGGCTGTCTGGCCTGGAGGCTGGCACGACTCATATGCCTGAACACTACCACCTAAAGTGGTCATGTCTTAGAGTTGCGAGCAGGAACCGTAAACCTGAGGGCTGTCAGTTGTTTACCACAGGAGCGGGGGAGAGCTCGGGAGGGAGAATGGGGAAATCGTCATGGAAAGGAGATGATGTGGCTTATTTGGAGGAGCTGCTGATCCTGGGTTCTGTCAGTCTGGTAGTGTTTTCCTCTGGCAAAGGGGATGAACTAACATGAAACATACACTACTGTTCCTTAGGATGATCGCTCCCCTGGTGGTGAAATGCTGAGACATGAACGGGGATGTGACGACTTGGGGACAAAAGGCTGACACACAGCCAAGCAGCTCGTATTAGAGCTTCAGACACTGATGATGTAATTACTTATCCGTGGGAATCTTCCTTTTGGGGGTCACAGCCAGGGGGTCAAGGGCATAACATGAGGGGTAAGTGGCATCGGGCACAGCCTCTGTAATGAGCTGCTGCTCCTGTCATCACAGGGAAACCCTGGTCCCCAAGAGCACTTCTGTTCCTACATAAATGGAACAACAGATACTGACTAGTTTTAAAACTAAAGGAACCATTCCTGGCTCGCGGATCTAGAGACCCCTGCCACTTCTCTCTCCGCCACCTGAACACAAGGAGGTGGCATTTAATGATCTCACAGGTCTCTCTGGTCACAGACAGGACGGTTCTATCCTCTTTCCTTTTTGTTAGTTTTTCCCAAAAATATCGGGGTGTCCGCTCCATAGAGAAAAGTGGAGGTCGATTTCAAACTGGGTGGTCAAGAAATTAAGGAATGACTGTCAGCTGATCTAGAAACCTCCTGGGGACTAGAGGGCTTTCGATACAGGCCACACAGACGTCATTCTAAGGACATTCATCCTTCCATCCGGGAGACACACACACAGGCGCACACTCACGCATCTGGTACCGCTCGTCTCCTCCCCAGCATCCTCTGCCATCCTCCACCCTTGCCACCTGCCCCCCACTTCCGTGCCTGCACGATGCCCGGAAAATATGCCTGCAAGAAACTAAATGGACTTTCAAGTGCTTCTTTCCAGACTTTGTTTCCTTGGCATAAATATCTTTCGAGTTAATGCTGCTGTGGCGGGCGTGACTGCGAGAGTTAAGAGCAGTGCTGGGATTCCACGCAAGGCAAAGCTCAGAGGCGTGCAGACGGCAGCGCGGGGCACTCACCCGTGGCGCTCTTCCTGTTCTCCTCCTTGTCCTGCGTGCGAGGGGGCACCAGGGGGCTCGGCGGTGTCAGGGGCTGTGGCGGGGGCTGCGGCGTTGGGGGCTGCGGCGTCGGGGGGGCTGGTGCCCGCCTCTTCTTTCTCTGCAGGTCAACCTGGGACCCTAGAGACACCTGGGAAGCAGAGAGAGAGGCGACAGTCAGGGTCAGGGCGGCTCTGTCAGGGAGTGGGGTGCATGTGGGGTGCGCATCTCAGAGAAGCTGGCCTGTGGGACCCGGTGCTCCAAGGAGCGTTGGCAGATTGCTGGGTTCCTTTCTGGGGACCCAGGGCAGGTAGCAGATGCCCTGGTGTGATAGCTTGCTGTGGGGCCAAGGAGTGGCCCCAAGGTGGCCCAAGGAGGCTCACAGACATCCTAAGACCACTTGGAGCCACCAGGGGAGCTGGGGCTCTGCCCCATATTGCCTGAAATCCCGTCAAGGGACTTAGTAACTTCCTCTCAGCATAAATACAATAAAGGGGATCCTTTGCTCTTCATTAAAAGCAAAAGAGAACTATTCCTTCTGGACACTTGGCCAAGGGCCATCATGACATGCATCCACGCAGGGGGAGAGCAGAAGGGGCCCACTCAGGGCTCCCTGTGCCCAGAATCCTACTTGCTCCCCTGCCCCTGCATGTTCTCAAGCAGCCAGGACTAGTCCCTGTCCACAGACGGGCCACCCGTGGCCGGAATTATAGTGAAGTCTGCCAGCCTGTGGCTCACGGCGTCAGCCTACGGGACATCAAACTCCCACTGAAGACTTAAGCCAATGACGAATTTACAGCTCCGAAAGGCTGCATATGGACTGCATAGTCTCCTCCCCTCCACATTATGACGTTTTCATCCCTTGGGCCTGGCATTTCCTGTGTGTGCATGTGCATGTGTAGAGGGTCTCCTTTTAAATAATACATATTAATTGCAAAATAAATTTATATTTAAAATTCATATAAGCAAAAGAAAGAAAAAAATTACTTTGTTAACACTCGGATTCTAACTACTAACAGTTGGCATGCATACATTTTTCTGGTCTTTCTTTTTCTTTTTTTTTTTTTTTTAAGATTTTATTTATTTGAGAGCAAGAATGAGCACAAGCAGGGGGAGGAACAGGCAGAGGGAGAAGCAGGCTCCCTGCTGAGCAAGGAGCTGGGCACGGGGCTCAATCCCAGGACCCCTGGGATCATGGCCTCAGCTGAAGGCAGATGCTTTACTCACTGAGCCCCCCAAGCATCCCTGGTTTTTAACCTTTCCTCTTCAAAGTCATGTCCTTTCAAAAAATAACCTCATATTTCAAAATCACCCTCCTACTCCAATACAAAACAACCACCTCCTATACCTGTATAACTCTGTAATGTATTTCATGGAAAACATGGCCAGCAGGAAAATCAAGTCACTCCACAAAGCTCAGACCCTAGCCAGAAGCTCCTGGTCCACACTGCCCCCACTCCAGAAAAACCACTTCTTACTCTTTTTCTCTTGATGTTTACTCTGTTTTTTTTTTTTTGTTTGTTTGTTTTTTAATAATAAGCTTATACTGCTACTTCCCGATTTCCCTGTGTTAGATACTGGCTTTCTATTCCAGAAGAGGAGGTTTAACTGAGACACACACACACACACACACACACACACACACACACAGTTACTCCTCAGTCTTTCCAAAAATTATGGCACGGGGTTAAATTAATACGATCTCATTTTACATACACAGTTGGGATAGATATAATCCCATACAACAGAACTCTTCTTCAGGAGGAAGTGGAGACATCTCATGTCGATGTTGACATTTTCCTTCTGGATCCTTTTGATTTCTCTGAACTCGGTAAGTGATTTGTTTTCCAACTTTTTCCCTGGGCTTCCTGGAAATGGCCTTTCCTTGATTCAGCTGTTTTTCTCCTTGTTTCCTGGATTCCAGGCCTTCTGAAAAATTGACTTTCTTGTTATAGTGGGGCTCAGTGTGTGTCAGCTTTTGAGACCTTGAAAATTGAAGACTGTTTCTATTCTGTGAGGCTGACCAGCTGGTCATAGACGCTGGCTCCGTCTTCTCCATGTGGTCTGCTTCTCGTCTGCCAGCTTTGAGGACCCTCCCTTACCCCTGGCACCCTGACATGTCTGACAGCACGCCCTGGGCTGAAGTGCTCTCCACCCATGGTCTGGGGCATTTGTGGAACCCTGCAATCTAGAAATCCTTTAAATCTGCAGAATGTTCTAGCATCATTCCTTTCAGATTTCTTCTTCCCTGTTTTCTCTGTCTCTCCCTGGGTTCTGATTATTGAACAATGAGGGCTTGAAATCAATTTTTAAAAACTTTCTTGAATATTATTGCCTAATTAAAAAAAATTCCTCTTTCTTGGAAATTTCCTTCCCCTCACTGTCCAACTTCTTGAATTTTTAAAACTCCATGACTATATTTTTAATTTCCAAGAGCTCCTTCCTGTTATGTACTTTTTAAAAAGTACCATGTCTTCTTTTCTGGATACAGTATCTTCTCTTTTCTCTCTGAGGCCATTTTTATATTTTTTGAAAATGTTCTTTTTTGTTTGTTTGTTTTTATGTTTTGTTGTTTCCTACATGTTCCCTTCTTCCTCTCTCTGTCTTAGCTTCTGTCTGTCACATTCGGGCCTTTCCTCAGTTTCTGGTGACCCTTGGCTGATTGCTTATAATTGTGCATTTCTGGGGACAGAGTCTCTTTGACATGCCAATGGGTTTCCCTGCAGGTGCCTGGGCAGAAATCCAGTTAGCTCACTGGGGGATGCCCAAATGCCATTATCTGTAGGATTCTCTTGCATGCAGGGGGATTTTCCAGCCTCCTGCCAGGAGGAGGGAGATGATGTTGCAGAGTGGCAGTCCAGTGGGCAGCCCTGGACCCATTCAGCATTTGCTTTTCTCTTCTCCCAGTGCACAGCACTCTCCATGTGACTCAGGTCCTAGAGGCAGCCTCTCAGATCTTTCTCTTGTGGGGTCTGGAACACCTCTAGCTGTGTGTGGCCAGTGGGTCGGGGGTCTTACTCTTTCAAGTATACACATCCACTGTCCTTTGCTCCTTCTGCCTGCGGGTGTGCACAGGAACAGGGACCCCCACGGTCCCCACCTCACCAGGCTCTGCTCCCTGCTGCTGGGTCTCTCAAGCCAGAGGTCAACCCTCAGCTGCTTCTGCTTTGCTGGGAATTTGGCACAGTCCACGCAGCCTAGTTCCCGGTGTCTACTGACCCCTTACTGCTCCTTCTTGCCTTTGCTTTGTTGTAGTGGGCTAACACTTTGCATTCATTTTAGTGGGACTTCAAAAGGAGACAGAGAGACTCACTCATTTTATCAGCTGTATTTCCCTATATATATATATTTTTTTAAATTTTTAATTAACATATAATGTATTATTAGCCCCAGGGGTACAGGTCTGTGAATCGCCAGGTTTACAATTCACAGCACTCACCATAGCACATACCTTCCCCAGTGTTCATAATCCAACCACCCTCTCCCTACTCCCCTTCCACCACCCCC